AAAAAATAGAGTGCAGGGCGATTTATCTCATTTTCTAATAATTTTGTCTTTTAATTGTTAATATTTGTCCTATTAAACGACTGGAATTGGTGTAAATGTTTTTTTCACTTTGACATCGCTGCTCTTCATTAATTAAATTATGTTTTAGTCATGTGTATTCATGTTTAGTATGTGTTTCTATTAGTATAAGCAGAATTGTGAGATTTCCGGCACGGCCCTGACTAACTCTGTTTAACTTGACGACCTCGTCCACTAAGGGAAATCCGTCAGGAAATACCAACTGCACTGAAAACGTCACTTCCTGGAAACTTTTTATTTCTCAAAAGAACATTTTAAAATAAAACAAAAAAAGTTGCGTCCCAGATGTTGTAAGTTTCTTTCCCGTGCATCTGGATATTATAAGAACATGTATATACATATTTAGATTGATGAATTAACTGCTGATTGTGGTTTCTTTGCCTCTTGCAGTAGATTCACACTCCACACTGTAGATGTCTCCAGAATCCATTCACATCCTCTCACAGCATAAACCACAGAAGAAAACAACCAGGAAACACTTGAGAAGTTGACTCAGGCTCCCAGCATCAAACACATGTGATTTAACATCCTAACAACCCCCTCAGTGTGGAATTCATCTCTGCTTTAAGGTGAGTTGTGTAGTAGAAACATGTGACAGATGTGTGTTGTGTTCAGTTCCAGGTGTTGCCTCCCTCAGCAGGTGTGACTCAGATGTGTTGTGTTGGATCAGGATGGAGAAGGTGATCAGCTGTTTTAAGAGAAACCCAGAAGCTGTTGCCCGGCTGATCTGCTTCCCCTGGGCAGGAGGAGGCTCTTTGCATTACGCCCGCTGGGGAAACGTCCTCAGCTCTGTGGAAGGTAACACACTCACACACACATGGAGGATGTTGCATAAGAGCTGCTGCACTTTGCCTTGATCACCTGCTCTGGATTCTCAGTAGAACCAGTTGTGTGAGGTTCCATTTAAAACAGTTGTTATTGTAAATGTATTGTATTATTATTGTAGTATTAGTATTAATAGTATGGATCTTGATATAAAAATGTATTTGTAATCAGGGGACTGAAATCCATGAGTTTGTGCAGCCTGATAGAATCTGTTGGACCATTCTAGTTTTTAATCTTTTGTGCAAAATATCATATCCTCTGCTGAAAAAGAAGGTGAATTTTAACAAAATATCTTTTCTGTAAGAATGTAGCTGGGAATATGTTGAACACTTGTTTTGTCACTTCCAGTGTTCGCAGTCAAACTTCCAGGCAGAGAGACACGAGCCAAGGAGCCGTTCTTTCTGAACATGCAGCAGGTCGTAGACGAGGTTATCGATGTGCTGTTACCGCTGCTGAAGGAGAAACCGTTTGCTCTCTTTGGCCACAGGTTTGTTGAGAGAAAGGTTTTTTTTAATTTTTATAAATAAAAACACATGTGTGTGTTTCATTCATCCAGTTTCATTTGTTTTCACGTTTCTGGTTTGTCTTAGTTTCGGTGCCTACACAAGTTTCGCTGTGGCAGATGCTCTGAAGAAGCTTCACAACCTCCAACCGGCTCACATCTTCCTGTCTGGTGTCTCTGCACCTTATGTGAGTTTATTCATCTAATTTAACTGCATTTCACCGTCTCCATCTGTGTTAAATATACACCCAGGAACATCTGCATACTCCCACTACTGTTGAAAGCTTGACTGAAGAAGACAAGTGCTTTGGTGTCAATAATAAACCAGTCCTGTGTTGTTTGTTTTAGTCAGAGATTCGAATCAAAGCCCCAAAGAGAAGCGATTTATCAGACGAAGACTTTCTCAAGTGGCTGATTTCCATCGGAGGAACGCCTCCTGAACTTCTGGCCAATCCCGAGGTCATGAAGTTGTTCCTTCCTGCCCTGAAGGCCGACCTGCACGTGGTGGAGAACTACAGGCGAGCCGACAACTCCTGCTTGTTTCTTATCTCGTATTTCATTTCTAACAGTGCAGGTTTCAGTATGAATGTGAGTAGCAGTGACTGGATTCCATGATTTTTCTGCAGGCATAACAAACCAGACGATCCATTCCTGACCTGCCCTGTTACGTGTTTTGACGGAAAGGACGACGTGCCTCATGATTTACAAGGTCAGGTGACGTCAAAGTACACGTTAAATGAAATCATAAAAAATCATAAAAAAAATTATTAGGAGTGATTGCATGTCCTCTCTGGGCTCATACTGTGTGTAATTAATGCTAATTTATTTATTTTACAGCCTGGAAAGAAATCACATCAGGAGATTTCACCATTAGGATGCTCGACGGGTCTCACTTCTACCTGAAGGAGGCTGGAAATGAAAAACACATATTAGAATACATCACAAATCATCTGGAAACAATACAAATGGACTATTTCTGATTATATATGTACTTCACAGTGTCCAATATATTATGTTTTTATATTAATTCAATGTGATGGAATTTAAATTTGTACATTTCCGCAATGTAACATTTTGTGTTTAACCCCTACTTGTGATAAATGTAATTGAATAAATTTATTCAAACTCCTTAAGCCCCTTTTGTGGCAAACCTAAACATTAAATATAGATTTAACGTCCTGAAACCTTTTTTTATTTCGTTTACAATCCCAGTTTCTTTCAAAAGGCTAACTCGATCAGAAACTATTTGCCATATAAGGTTAAGCAGTATAGATAATGGGTGGATGGATATCAAACCAAATATATACGAGTGGAAAAAGTGATCTATTTAAAGATTTAATTCAATGTCAACCCAGTTTCTCTCCTGGTCTATATTAAGGCTACTACTCATTAGGAGATTAAGAAATAAATCAATGCAATTTAATTGTTTTATCAGCTGCAATCAAACTGATTTCATGGTCACATATTGACTTTATTTTTTTATTGCTAAATCCATGATTACAATGCCTGGTCGGTTTAAAGTACATAAAATGTTGACACCTGCACAGATTTGAGATTTAGGACACGTTACAAACTGGAACTTTTGTGAATAAATATATATATATCTTTATCATATAAGTCACATTTTTACATTGGTCTCTTTCTTCAAGTTTAATATTCGAGTTCTGTTCTGAGAAGCACGAGGAAACACACAAAAAACATTCAGATTATAGAGTTAAAACTGATTTTATATCTAATTAAAACCCCATTTGAATGAAGTGTATAAACAACATAATGTATAAATATCTACAGTGCTTGATAAAGGTTTTTGCATCACGTTCAGTTTTAACAGTTTTTCTTAAGGACTGATTTATGATATTAAAATACAACGTGACTGTTCAACAACATGCCACCGTGCACACAGGCTCCCTCGCTTCACCTGCAGCTTCCCTCTGCTCAGCGAAGGGTGACGTTAGAGCAACAAGAGCGGAGCACAGAGGTCATGGGATTGTGAAAGTGAAGATTAAACGATTGACACAGAAAAGAAAACATTCCCTAGTCAATTGTTTGAGAGTAGAAGGTGCAAAGTCTGAGGTTAGATTGTGTCTTTGGCAGGAGAAGAGGAGGGGGTCAGGACGCTGCTACATTTGGACATCGTCTTCTTCATAAGGAGGCGGAGGTGGAGGTGGCGGCAGGTTGTCCATCTGCTGTCTGACAGGAGTGTCGGCAAGCATGAAGGAGTCAGTGGAGCGGCTGCTGGTGCGAAGAGGAGCCAGGCGCCGCAGGTTGCTGGGGGTCCACGGCAGCCTCACCTGGGCTCTCTGCGAAGGGGCCACCGTGCTGCTGTCGTGCTCGGCCTCCGCCAGCCACGGGGGGATCTGCACCGTGGACATGGAGTCTATGTCCGGCATGAAGGCCGGGTTCTCGATTCCAGCTGGATGAAAGATAAAAGTGTCTTAGTGCTGACAGGATTTGAAGGTTTAACATAACATCAACAAGGTGACAGATGTATTTTACCTCCTGCTCTGTAGGTGACCCTCATGGGGAATGAATCTCCAGATGCGTTGTAGCCAGAGGCCCTGTCTCCCTCTGAGGAGAACTCAAAATCTAGAAAAGAAAAAGGGAACAAAAAACTTTTCAAGAAGAACTTTTTTAGTTGAATAAAACTCAAACATGCAAACATACAAACCTTCATCTCCTGACTGGTAGCTTTTACCTTTGTCCGGTGTTTTTCCATTCGACATCTGCAGATTGAGATAAAGAGAAAGAAAAAAGAACACAGAGTTTGTAAATTACATCT